AGGAATTGCTTAAGCCAAAGCAACCTTTTTTAGAAATAAAATATTTTTATAATCCAAGTTTACCCCCTGAATTATATAATCTACTTAATATTGTATGGAGAGCCTATATATCAGAAAGTAAAACTAATTTTAGAAAAAACATGACAGAATTAGCACAAGTTTTAGCTAATCAAGCTGAACAACAAGCTCGATTTCAAGAACTTGTATTCAAAATAATATGTACAAGTAACTTGATAAAAGAGCAAGATCCAGACTTTTTTGCTATTGATGAAAATCAATACTCCCTTGAATAGATAAACAATCTCTTAGAACTTTGTGAATTCTTTGAAAAATAAATTTTTCCTTTAAAATATTAAAATTAAAGAAAATTTTAATGTTTGAAAAAGTTACAATTTTCTTACCTAAAGAGATATTTCAAAGAATAAATAGTACAATTCTTTTTTAAATAAAAAAACAATTATAAGAAAAATTTATAAATTATCATTCTCAAAAGATAATTCTATGATATATCTTGAAAATACTGAAATAGGAGAACCCTTTCCAAAAATAAAATTTAGAGTTTATCATGAACTATGCGATATAACAAGTATCGAAATTGGATTAGTAGGTTAAATAGTTGTCAAAAAATTTTCTTTTCACTTGATAAGACAATTTCCTATTTTTATTAAATCAAAATTTATTGATTTCATAAAAAATTATCAATATTTTTGCTATATTCATTTTAATATTACTAGCCTCCTAGGGATTTATCAAAGAGAAAGGTTTATCCAACCTTATTAAATATGAGAAATTCAAAAATTGATGGGTAGACCTCTTCTTGAAAAAATTAATAAGAATTCTGAAAGCTTAATTAAGCTTTAAAAAATTTCTCATCTTCTAATCAATATTAATCCCAAATAAGAATATATATGATGAACAAAGTAAAAACCTTGCATTGTGAAACAATAAAATCTCAATATCTTTAAGTCTCTGCTATAACTGACAATCATAAAATCTTCGTTCAAAGATCCTACAATGAAGAAAGACTGCCACCAACTAAACCATAAGTAGTGAATCTTTTGGAACAATTATAAAAAATAAAGGACATGGACCATCCTTAACATTTATTATTTCAATACCAAGAAGGATGGAACATCTGAAACAAAACCATGACCAATTCTTCAAATCATTCAAACCGGATGATGAAGAATTAATAAATCTTGATAATATCTAAGAAGGATAGGATAACCTGTAAAATCAACATCGATAAGATGGGATAAGGCATATATATTCATTACAAATTATTGTCATCTTTTGAAAAAGTCAAAAGTTACCTTTTTGTCGTAATTAGGTATTGACAATTAGTTTCATTATTGTCATAGGCATTAATTATTTACCTACCCTAATTAATGGGAGGAAGATTGTATTATAAAGGATAATGGGATAAAGAGAAAGGGTAGAGACTCCCTTTCCCTCTGAGCTTTTTTTTCTACTCACTTGTGCATCTTTCTCACATCTTTTTCATTTATAAATTGTCTTTCACCAATAATTCTCTCTCACATTGATGGAGCTGCGATGGTGGAGGTTAGGACGTTCAAGGGCCATTTTTTATGAGATGGTTTGGAATGGGCTAAATGAAATGGCAGTGGGTCTCGAGTTTGGTTAATGGAGGATTGTGATGGTGTTATTGATGGTGATGGTTTCGGCTTGTGAAGATTGCAATGGTGGTGGTTTGATGGTGAAGGTGGTTTTTAAGTAGGGGTCTCAGCTGGGTTTTTTTAGTAGATTTGTGGTGGTTTTTTGGTAGGTGCTGGTTGGTTATGGGAGGCCGAATGGACCTTGGGTGATAGGAGCTATGGATGGGAGGCTATAATGTTTTATGGGAATCCCCTCCTACCCTTGTTTGTAGAATCCTCATTTGAAATCTAGTAGAATCACTTTTTGATTGAGGAATGTAGCAACGGGTGTTGCTTTTGGTGTTTAAAGTCAGAGGGTGAATTGAGAGGTGAAAATTAGAAAGCTGGGAAAAGTAAATTGGGAAAGAAATCTAGGAGCTTGAGATGATTTTTTTTCATTTCTTATAATTTATCGATTAATAAAAATAATTAAATCTAAAAAAAAAGTAAATTTTTTAGCTTCAAAATCAAAGGTTCAAATTTTAAATTTTGGGCTTTAAAATTCATTCTTAGACTTTGGGCTTTTAGACCGGTATGATTTAATTTTAAATTGGTCCAAATTAAATTAGATTGAGTTTTGACCCATGTAAAAATGATTTGAAAACAAGTAATCTGAATCAAAATCCAAACAAATCCTATTAAAACGCTTAAACTAATTCAAATCAAAACATTCAAATCAAGTATAGAAATTGCACAAACTCATTTCAATATGGATAAAATTTGATGTCTACAAAATTAATAAAATTATTCTTATGTGGTGATTTAAAGTATTTTCCATATTTTTACTTGCATTACATGATTAGAAGGAATTACTTAGAATTTGTAATTCCAATATTTGGTATCAAAGCGGAATATTGATCATACAGTGATAGCAAATAAATTGAGATGGGAAGCAAAGGAGATTGAAAATTAGGAGTGTGCATTTAATTTCAGTTTGCAATGAGATAATAAAATATTTAAAAAAGTTTCTTTGGACAATTATGATGTTTGGAGTACTAAAATTAAAAAGTATTTCGAAGATGGTAATTTACTTGATGAACATGGAACAAATGCTGGGAAAGCCTCTATAGAAGGAGATTTTTGATATCAAGAAAATAAAAACGACAGGCATTATTTAACGGTGGATTTGTTAGTTTTGACTTATTTGGTGAATGGATGAATATGGATCACTTCTTTGAGCACATGAGAATAATTATTTGGCAAATTGGAAGATGGATTATTTGTATATGCAAAAATGACTACCCAATTTGATTATTGAAAAAATTTTTTTTTGGATGATTTAATTACTGCCGCAACAATTACTTCGAAGATTCTTGTGATTGATGGAATCGGTTCATGTGTAAAGAAGAAATTGGTTTATGGGAGACAATGCTAGAATTAAATCAACGTTTTTATAATAATTTATTTTATTTATTATAGTTAATATTTTATTAATAGATTTTAAAATTTTTAGAGTTTATTATAAATATATATTTTTTAAAAATTTAGGTAAGAGATTGTGAGGCTAAAAGGAGGTTATGAGTTCCAACTGAAATACCTAACTAGCAAAATTCATCTTCAACTCGTGATGCTTTTACGAAGCTTATTGAGAGGATAAGTACAGCTAGATTTAGCAACAAGTATTAAAGTTATTGGCGAATGCTTGCAAATTGTCCTGTTCTAAATGTCTTTGAATATAGCAATTTTTATCACGTGGATTTGCGCCTTTTTATTCAAAATCGTCAAAAACTAGGATTAAAAGATGTAATAAATTATTTTTATTTTACGATTTTGAAAATAAATAAATTTTATTATATATTTAGAATTTATTTAATTAATCAATTTTAAAATGTTGTTCTAATTAATTAATTTTAAAATGTTATGTTCATTAAATTTAATAACTAAATAAAAACCTGAAATTTAATAAATAAATAAAAATTAAATATGTTCATGAACTATTTGTCTAATGTTTTATTCATTTATACTTTCAAATGTAAAAGAACCAAACATCAATAAATTTTATAATATTCGTAATCTGTTCATTAAATTAATAAATTTTAAAATATTATTTGAGATTATTTTTTAAATTTAATAAATAAATATGGATAAATAAAAATAGAATTTATTCATGAAATATTTTATTTTTTATGCTCTTAAATATATCTATTCTACTAGCACTCAGATCAAGTAGAGCTGCTGCTTGATAAAACATGGATTTCTGACACCTTTATATATAATTCAATAAAAAATTATTCATGGAAGCATAGCGACATGTGATGTTAACAGTGACTCATCAACATTTTTCAACAACTTAAACACAGCCTTTAATAATATGCTCCTGTATAAGGTATTGAGTCAAATTCAAAATGCTAGGTAAGATCCAAAAAGCCAGGAACCCACATGACATCTATCTGTGCATTCCTAAATTAAAGGTATGCTTAATTCCAAACTCATAAGCAGCATGCAGCTAGAACTGACACTAATACACTGCATCACATCAATCACTAAATTTGCATTAATTTAAGAAGTAAACCTAAATTAAGAAACATGTAGCATTTCAGTATTCAAGTTTTCAAGAGATGTAATATATATGGTAAGTCTATAACTGTATATTTGATGCAACACTCAGCATTATTTAGATTTGTTTTGCAGCATAGTCCAGACTTTATGAAATATGCCAATATACTTTGATACAAAAATGGATGAAAGAGAGGAAGAGAATTAAAGATCAAAGATAGGAAATGCATAATAATAATAATAATAATAATAATCATCATCATCTTTTGCATCTGAAAACAGAATGAGATAGTTCTCTCTCTCTCTCAAAAAAAAAAAACAGAATAGATTGTTTCCAACATACTAATAGACAGCATTACAGCAAGAATTTTACTATCCCTAAAAATTCCACAATCATGCTGGAAGGAATTTTCATACACTTAACACTCATGCATATCTCAGAAAATGTGATATTTTTAAAATTATATTGTAACCAGCAACTACGATCAACATATACATAGAAAAGCTAGTGTAATGGAAACCTTTTCTTTTTTTTTTTTCTTTTTTTAGTATAAGTTTTGATTTCAGGGCCCCATGTGCCATCTTACCTTTGAAGAAAATCCCAAAGGTCAACATGTAACAAATTTCTTTATTTTTATTTAATTATATTTTCATTTTAAGTACATCACTGGTGATGCAATGGCATATCAGCTGCTACAAAGTCATTTTAGTAAGAAAAACCACGATGTGGGGTGTAATAGCTGAGTCCAGACTGGAAAAGTGTAGTACTGTTTCCAAGTTAAAGCAATTTTCTTACCAACTTTTTGGAATTTGACACAAGGCAAAGAATAACAACACTTATAGCAGATTAAGGTTAAAAAAAAAAAGGGAAAACTGCCCAATGCCCATAAGGTTGTTTGCCAACATAGCGCTCATTTTCTTGTTATAAGAGATCTCAATAACATGTTTTCAAACCAGAACATTACATGTCTACAACCATCTTCACATTTATTCTGGTTACTTATGTAACTTGTAAATTTGACATGCATTTGCTAACACCTTGAGTACAAAGATAGTCATCACCACCTGCATCACATTCTGTTCTGACATATATGTGAGAATCACTCTCAATACTCAGGTGTAGCTCCAGGATAAGCCTCAATTCTATGGTGCTACGCTATTGACAACCACCCAATCAGCCAATTCAAAAATAATCCTTCAATTAACTTAACACCACATTCCAAAAACCTTTCAAGACTTGATACCATTATGCTCAGATTGCAAGAAAAACCAAGTCAGCTTTTTTATTTTATCAACAACAAAATACAATAATCAACCATCTAATAAATTTCACAGCTCATGGTGTGCACAATACTAGATGCCTCTCAAAGAATTTCTTCTCGAGGGTTTAAGAAAAATACAAAGAAGGGCAAGGAAGAACCTGAAATCAATCTCCTGCAAAAAATTGAGAACAACTCCATGAACACATTAGTTGAAGGGTTCTCTGCAATTTTTTTATTAATAAACCAGCAGGGGTGCGATCACAAGGTCAGCTCTTCACCATCGCTCCCATTTGGGAAGGTGACACACTTAAAGACTTTGCATTTTGAACACAACAGATGACCAATCTGCATTGCAATTTTAAACGAGGGTTTTTGTTAACAGTTTGTATGAGATGGATCTAGATTAACTTGTAATGTGGAAGGAAACATGAGGTATACTGAATTCTGAATAGAGCAAGCCACTGCAAAGTTATAGAAGATGTGTGTGTGTGGGTTGGGGGGGGGGGGGGGTTCGGGAAGAATAATCTTAGGCGCAGAAAACAAAATTGAATGAGATCTACACATTTGTTTTTCTCTAATTTATTCTGTGGAATAGGAATCATGCCCTAATTCATCTTGCTCTCATTCTGATCCCTTATGTATAAGCCTACTTGTTGTCATTATATGCAACCATCAATTGGATTCTCTTTCTCACATGATATTTATACCAAGCTATATATCATTTCACGGAGCAGTTATATTTGCAGTTATGTGGTCAAAAATCAAAATTGGCAGGAAACAATTATATTATAAGTGTCATAAACTGAAAGGTGGAGAAAAAGGACCATGGTGAATTAGAAATAAGGAATGTAGGAATACGCACACCTCTACAAGATGGGCATCGACGGTAGATCCGTTTGTTCTTGGCTTTGACATTGGTTTTTTTTCCTTCACAAAAATCACATGGCAACCATCCTTTACCATTGCAAGGTTCACACATGATCCCTGCGTCAATCTTGAATACCCAGTGGAGCGAGCAGAGAAAGAATAAAGTTAAATGAGCCAAGTTGGGCAAACATTAGAAAAAGCCTAATCACTTGAACAAGAGGGGAAGGCCAATTTAATTGAACAGTTAAGAAATCATTCGAAAGAGGGAAGTATTAACATGCATCAGATACAGCAGAGAAATGATACTTGGGTGTCAGAGTGTGGGTGACCTCTTGCTCTTGTTGCAGTTGCTGGAGAGGTGCACAACGCAGGGGTTTGTAGAAAGGCCTGGTCCTTGAAGCCACTGGTGCTGCAGCCGCTGGCATAACAATAACCCTTAGGATATTGAGCAACGAGGGCTGTATTCTCATGCAATTCGCCATTATTCAGTATAACTAAACTGCCTTCACACCTGGGTACACTTTCCTCGAAATAGCAAAACTGCCATCACTCTCACTCTGCCCTGCAACACTTATGTATCTTATCTTAGTAGTAATTCTTAACAAGAAGGATATTTCCCAGACCACAAAAAAAAAAAAAAAAAAGGGCCTGTACTTATTGCAAATTACAAAATGGCCACAAGGCCGACAGGTAGGCAGGCACGCACCGACTACTCCGCAAGTTTTAGTAGCGAACTTGGGTGCTGGTTGAGTAATATGTGTAACGCATAGTTGACACTTGACACAGCCAGATTCTAGGCAGAGATGAGGGCATTTGCAGTTGCAATTGCAGTCTGCCTCTCCCTCTTTCTCTCATTTGTGTTTTCTCTTCGTAACCGTACGCTCTCTCCAGACACATTTTCATCATCAGTATGCCAGCTCAGCAACCAGCCCCACCCTCGAACTCTCAGATTCAATCAGTTCACCGTCCTCATCAACGGCTATTCCGAGTCCCGCCTCCCTCTACTCCAGTCCATCGCAGCCACTTACTCGGCGTCCCCGCTAGTAGCCTCTGTGCTGGTCCTCTGGGGAAACCCCTCCACCCCACCCCTTACTCTAGCCCAATTGGCCCACAACCTATCAGTCTCATCCATGGGCAGCGCCGCCATCTCCCTTGTGCCCCAAGCATCGACCAGCCTGAACGCCCGATTCCTGCCAAGGTCATCGATCGGGACACGCGGCGTTCTGGTGTGCGATGACGACGTGGAGGTGGATCTGAAAACGGTGGAATTCGCGTTCAGGATGTGGAGGGGGAATCCGGAGCGTCTGATAGGGATATTCGTGAGATCGCATGATATAGATATGAGACGGAAGGAGTGGATTTATACGGTGCATCCGGACAAGTATTCCATTGTGCTGACCAAGTTCATGATGATGAAGACGGAGTATTTGTTCAAGTACAGTTGCGGAGGCGGGGCCCCCATGCGTGAGATGAGGAGGATGGTTGATAAGATGCGTAATTGCGAGGATATTCTGATGAACTTCGTGGTGGCAGAGGAGACCAATGCGGGGCCTATGATGGTAGGGGCAAAAAGGGTCAGAGATTGGGGAGACCCAAGAAATGAAGACGACGATGGTGTTAGACTAGTACGAGAGGTGGGGCTGAGCAGTAGGAGAGCGGAGCATCGCAAGAGGAGAGGGGATTGCATAACGGAGTTCCATAGAGCTTTTGGAAGGATGCCCCTCAGATACAGTTATGCCAAACTGGTTTCTTCTGTTGGAGAGCAAGGTCTTTGTCAGAAAGGCGCCAATTTGGTGCTCTGTGATCATTGAATTTTGATCAATGGAAAAACAATCAGTTAAATGAGAAAAACCACATTCCATTTCTCTTTCTCTTTGTTTGTTTACAGATCGTATGAGTATCACAGCACAATCAAATTGGACAGACGATTCAAGTCAATATGGAATTGAACGCTCCTTTTCTTTTTCCAACTAGTAAGTGTTACTAACTCCTAGTTTTTTAGTGGTGTCTGCCTTAATATTTCGTCTAACAATCTTTGTATCAATGGAAGATATAACTATTCACATTTGAAATTTGAAAATTTTTGTTTCATTCAAGTTGAAACTTGCTAAGTGTTTTAAGTAATATTTAAAATTTTAAAGACTTATTTTGTGAATTGTTTTTCAAATTTTTAATGTAAAAGTGTTTTTGTTTTTCTTAAATAAATTAGAAAAAAATGATATTCCTTTTAAGATATTAGTTAAAAGGATAATATCTTATTTAGTATATATAATTTTATGTTAGTGTAAACTCTACTTACACTCTTGCAGTTAATGCAAATAAAAATTTTAGATGATGAGATTCTGAGAAGTCTAAGTAATTATTTTCGAGAATTCTCTAAGTGAGAAAAATTTTTAAAAATTACGAAAGTATTGAAATATTTAAAAATTCTTTTTGATACAAATTTTTTAATTAATTTGAATAATTCTTGTAAAAAGGTAAAAAATGTAAATATTTATAAAAGCATGCATTTTTTAACAATAAAATTAAGTAATGAGAATTTTCGATGATGGAATTTCGAGAAATCATGGTAGTAATTCTTGAGAATTATTTAGGTAAGAAAAGTCTTTTAAAAATTGTTAAAGTATTGGAATATTTAGAAGTTTCTTTTCAATACAAAAAATTTTCATTTTATAATTATTTTTTATAATTTAAATAGTTTTTTTTTTAATAAATAAGAGTGTGTTTTTTAGGAAATAAATATATATGTAAATAATTATATTATTACATGACTTTTAATAATTTTTAAAAACAAACAAAAAATCTTTTAGTATGAGATCTTAAAAAAATTCGAATAGTGATTCTTTATGAATCTTTAGGTAAGAAAATCTATCTAAAATGTCATCAATGTATTAAAGCATTTATATTAATTTTTGATGAAGATTTTTCGTTCTTTATAAATGGCATAGAAATGAATTTTAAAAAAATACTATTTGTTTTTAAAATTATAGATATCATATTTTATGGAAGTAACTCTGAACCATCGTTGATAGAATTTTTTAGAATTTTAAATAGTATTTTTTAAAAATTCTTTATGTGAAATAGTTTTTTTAATATTGGAATATTTTTAGAAATTTTTCGACATAAGGTTCTTATTTATTCAAGCGTATTAAAAATTAAAAATATGTTTTTAAGAAAATTTAAAAAATTAATTTTTTAAATACTAAACTTAAGGCCTCTTTTAATCAAAATTAAAAGATAACGTATGATTAATTGATATCTTTTTAAATGAACATTGTGAATGTGTTAATCTTTCTTCATGTGTAATCGACTCTTAAATTCAAATTGTTTTCGCAAATAAAAAAAATTATCTTTTTAATAAATTTTAATTAATTTTAAAATTTTATTAACTTGGTAAGTTTTAATAGGTGGTCAATCGCACTTAGCCAAAAAAGATTAGTGGTGGCTCTATCTTTTGTTTTTTAAATTTGTCTAACGATCCCCAAAACCATCATAATATCTTAACGACTCCACTGGAGATATCATTTTTTCAGAGAGTCAAGCTAAAAATTAATAATGTGTTATCTTCAGTTCTATTTTAATGGTCTTAATTGGTATTTAACTTTAATTTTCTTAATTTTAATTTTTTTAATAATAATAATAATAATAATAATAATAATAATAATAACAGCGGTAATAATAAAAAGAGAAACGAAAAATTGCATTTTATTTTTACGCATATCATTTTTTTACTATTTACTCTTTTATTTTATGCGTCATATGTATTGTTATTATTATTACGAAGTGCGTAGAATAAGATTATAATGCTTTGTTCCCTTGTTCACACGTGACATGTTCACATCATGCATGAGCTTTATACTTGAGCTCTAACCTTTTTAGGAAGGAGTAAAGTATCTAGGCTCTTATGAGTTAATAACCTTCACAATGGCAAGTAAAATACTCTTATTCAAATTGAATTTTTTTCGTTCGTAGCCTGTAATGGGTGAGGATCAAAGTCCCTTACTACTTCAAAGTGGATGACAGTGAGGAACAGTTGGGGATTTTTAGATGCAAATCAATTCGAACTCAACATATAGTAAACTAAAAGAGTCGACCCAAGGTAGAGCCATATCCACCATTTTCGTAAATCGTCTCCATGAATTAGAATAAAAGGGGAACATTTGTATTGTAGTTTTTTTTTTTTTAAGAAAATCATAAATGTGATTCATATTTGTTTTGATTTTTCAAAAAAATATAATAAGATCTTTGTCTCATTTTCCTTTTTTATATAAAAAAAATTTCTTTTCGTTTCTTTTATTTTCAAGCTTTTATTATTATATTTTTATTTTTCTTATTTCTTTCTCTTTCGTACTAACGACTTGTTTTTTTTTCTATTGTGTTTCTTCTGCATAAATTACATTGGCATGATACAATAACATAGTGAGGTATTTGCTCTGAGACATCTTTCAGCAAAGTTTTTTTTCATAGATCTCATAGTATGATAGATCTGCTCTTTTTTTATAACTGCCCTATGTGAATCGTACAATGAGGTACATGAATGGTATAAAAAAACTCAGCAAAAGGAAGGAGATTGTTTACCTGTTGGTTTCGTGTTTGGGTTACCAAAAAAAGTGCATTTAATTCTTACCCTTTGGCTTCCATATGAAATCAGATGGGTAAAGCTAGAAAGGAAAAGTTTTGTGAAAAATATGGGCAGATTGCGTTTCTTGTTTCAGTAATGATTAAAGAATATTTGATTCAAGCAGCTGTTTAGTTTTGGGACCCATCATACAGATGTTTCACATTTAATAAGGAGGATTTGACATCGACCATTGAGAAATATTTGATTTTGGTAGGATTGAAATTATAGTACTTTGATAAGATATATGTAAGAAAACCAACATTAAGGTATCGTAAAAAGATAGCAAAATTGATGGGAATGGAGGTAGAAGTCGTGGATGTTTTAACTATAGACAAAGGTAAAGGTGTCGGCTTACTTTGGCATTTCTTTCATGATTTCATTTTGGGACACTTAGAGGATATCAAGGCATGACAATATTCGCCCTAGAAATTTACGACATGGTGATCTTTCTAAAAACTTTGGGATATATTGAATTGGCAGTAGTTGATCTGTTCAAACAAATCAAAAGTCAAGTAATTAATCTCATTCCAACCATTCTAGCTGAGATAATCAGATCATTGAACTTTTATTGCTAGAATGAAGGATGTTTCACAGAGAGTACATAACTACTATTTGTCTAGACAAAAAGCCATTTCAGATGTAAGAAAAGTTCTTTTTCCAAGCAGTATCTTCGAAATAGAGCCCCATTCAAAGAGTTTTGTGAGAGTCTGTGGCCAACATTGAAATCTAAAAAAGAGTGGGTATCATTCTTTCAATAGCTTACTAGTGATCAAGTCAAATAAATGGCACCATGGATGCCTCATGTGCTAATGTTATATCGAGGTGGAGATGATCTATCGGTACTGCTTTTAGGATTATGGGGAGTAGTAAGTTACACTCCACTAATGATGTTAAGGTAATTTGGTGCGAAGCAGTTTGCCTTTACCACGCATGGACTCACTTTAGTGGATTTGCTTATGGAGAAGCGAGTTCGTCAAGAATAGTATAGCAATTAGTTCAGGTATGGAAGAAGATTGGGAGGCCAAGATTAAGACCTATTTTTGACAGTCACCCCTAATTACTTGATTTAGAAAGCAAAGTGTTCTAAAGATGTTGTACTTCCTCCAGATGATTTTTCATTTCAATAAGTGAACCCGTGAGCAAAAGAACCATTGTCGGAAGTTGAGCTTGTAAAGCAAGAACTTGAAGCAAAAAAAAAAATTGAAAAAGGAAAATTTAAGACTCAAGAAAGAGATGGGACAATTAAAATATGAACCGAAAGCTTGAAAAAGCAAACTCAAAAAAATAATGCAAGATCAAGATGTGACTCTAAATGATTTAAATGATTTGCATCAAGGAAACAAAAAAATGCGAACCCAATTAAAAAAGGGAAACGATGCTAGATTTAGTGTTAAGCAACAAAAAGAAATGATTGAACTTCAAGAAGAGATGCAACATTGTAATGACAAAGCCAAGGAAAATGAAGAAAAAACCATCAGGATTTTTCCAGAACAGTAAGAGTGGAAGGTTTGTATTCAATAACTTCAGCAAGAGTGATGAAATGTCAAAAGGAGAATGCTAAATTGAAAGCACAGATCAAAGATGAAAAAAGAAAACACTATGAAATGCAAAAGGAGAAAGAATCGCTTTACCAAATAATTCAATAGATGGAACAGCAATTACAGAACCACAAAGACCATATTTTCACAATTATCAAAGAATGGCAAAATAGAGAAGAAGATTGGAGATACACTTACGATCTTAAAATGGATGCTCGTATGAAGTGGAAGGCAAAGAGCTTTGGAAGGCAACAATACATAGAGCATCTGGCTAGTCAAATTTGTAAAGCAGTAAGAATTAGGACCTATTTTTGACATTGACAGTCACCCCTAATTACTTGATTTAAAAAGTAAAGTGTTCTAAAGATATTGTGCTTCCTCTAGATGATTTTTCATTTCAACAAGTGAACCTATGAGCAAAAGAACCATTGTCGGAAGTTGAGCTTGTAAAGCAAGAACTTGAAGCAAAAAAAAAATTGAAAAAAAAATTTGAGACTCCAAGAAGAGATGGGACAATTAAAATATTAAGCGAAAGCTTGAAAAAGCAAACTAAAAAAAACAATGCAAGATCAAGATGTGACTCAAAATGATTTAAAAGATTTGCATCAAGGAAACAAAAAAATGCGAACCTAATTAAAAGAGGGAAACGATGCTAGATTTAGTGTTAAACAACAAAACGAAATGATTGAACTTTAAGAAGAGATGCAACATTGTAACGACAAAACCAAGGAAAATGAAGAAAAAGCCATCAGGATTTTTTGAGAACAGTAAGAGTGGAAGGTTTGTATTCAACAACTTCAGCAAGAGTGATGAAATGTCAAAAGGAGAATGCTAAATTGAAAGCACAGATCAAAGATGAAAAAAAATACTATGAAATGCAAAAGGGGAAAGAATCGCTTTACCAAGTAATTTAATAAATGGAACAACAATTATAGAACCACAAAGATCATATTTTCATAATTATCAAAGAATGGCAAAATAGAGAAGAAGATTGGAGATACACTTGCGATCTTAAAATGGATGCTCGTATGAAGTGAAAGGCAGAGAGCTTTGGAAGGCAACAATACATAGAGCATCTGGCTAGTCAAATTTGTAAAGCAGTATGGATTAAGACCTATTTTTGACAGTCACCCCTAATTACTTGATTTAGAAAGTAAAGTGTTCTAAAGATATTGTGCTTTCTCCAGATGATTTTTCATTTCAAAAAGTGAACCCATGAGCAAAAGAACCATTGTCAGAAGTTAAGCTTGTAAAGCAAGAACTTGAAGCAGAAAAAAAATTGAAAACGGAAAATTTGAGACTCCAAGAAGAGATGGGACAATTAAAATATGAAGCGAAAGCTTGAAAAAGCAAACTCAAAAAAATAATGCAAGATCAAGATGTGACTCAAAATGATTTTAAGGATTTGTATCAAGAAAACAAAAAAATGCGAACCCAATTAAAAGAAAGAAACGGTGCTAGATTTAGTGTTAAGCAACAAAAGAAAATGATTGAACTTCAAGAAGAGATGCAACATTGTAACGACAAAGCCAAGGAAAATGAAGAAAAGGCCATCAGGATTTTTGGAGAACAGTACGAATGAAAGGTTTGTATTCAACAACTTTAGCAAGAGTGATGAAATGTCAAAAGGAGAATGCTAAATTGAAAGCACAAATCAAAGATGAAAAAGAAAACACTATGAAATGCAAAAGGAGAAAGAATCGCTTTACCAAGTAATTCAATAGATGGAAAGCAATTACAGAATCACAAAGATCATATTTCCATAATTATCAAAGAATGGCAAAATAGAGAAGAAGTTGGAGATACACTTGCAATCTTAAAATGGATGTTTGTATGAAGTGGAAGGCAGAGAGCTTTGGAATACAACAATATGTAGAGCATATGGCTAGTCAAATTTGTAAAGCAGTAAAGATTAGGACCTATTTTTGATCGTCACCCCTAATTACTTGATTTAGAAAGGAAAGTGTTCTAAAGATATTTTGTTTCCTTCAGATGATTTTTCATTTCAACAAGTGAACCTGTGAGCAAAAGAACCATTGTCGAAAGTTGAGCTTGTAAAGTAAGAACTTGAAGTAGAAAAAAATTGAAAAAGAAAAATATGAAACTCCAAAAAGAGATGGGACAATAAAAATATGAAGCGAAAGCTTGAAAAAGCAAACTAAAAAAAATAATGCAAGATCAAGATGTGACTCAAAATGATTTAAAGAATTTGCATCAAGGAAACAAAAAAATACGAACCCAATTAAAAGAGGGAAACGGTGCTAGATTTAGTGTTAAGCAACAAAAGAAAATTATTGAACTTCAAGAAGAGATGCAACATTGTAACGACAAAGCCAAGAAAAATGAAGAAAAAGCCATTAGGATATTTCGAGAACAGTAAGAGTGGAAGGTTTGTATTCAACAACTTCAACAAGAGTGATGAAATGTCAAAAGGAGAATGCTAAATTGAAAGCACAGATAAAAGATGAAAAAAGAAAACACTATGAATGCAAAAGGAAAAAGAATCGCTTTACCAAGTAATTCAATAGATGGAACAGTAATTACAGAACCAAAAAGACCATATTTTCATAATTATCAAAGAATGGCAAAATAGAGAAGAAGATTGGAGATACACTTACGATCTTAAAATGGATGTTCGTATGAAGTGGAAGGCATAGAACTTTGGAAGGCAACAATACATAGAGCATCTGGCTAGTCAAATTTGTAAAGCAGTAAGGGAAGTATAGGAGATGGTTGACAGAGTAAAAACTTTAATACAAGAAATCAATCCAACTGCAAGTTATGGGCAACATTTGTTGAATTTTTTAGTTAAAGCCAAAGATCATTATGAGCAAATTAAATGTTTTTATGGCTGCAATGCTAAAATGATAGACTCTCTGTAATCGAAAACTATTCTGAATCAATGAAAAGTTTTAATGTTTGAGATATGTCTTAGAGTAAATACCTCTCAATGCATTCATGCATTTATTTTGATATTTTTTCATTATTAATA